TTCGAATCCAAGTGATTCATTTCTTTCAAAGAAGAACTTGTATTTGGCTGCAGTAGTCAGCCATTGAAGATAAGATTTCAAGCCGAGGACGATACTCAACTTGAAGTTCTTATCTGAGTGAAGGACAGTACTTCACTTGTTGTAAAGGTCTTTGCTCTACCTGTGAACGAGCTGATAGTGAAAAATCTCAAAGGACGGTACTTTGAGGACTGGACGTAGGGGACGGTACCCGAACCAGGATAAATCTGCTGAGTATCTCTTTCTCATTTCAATATATATATTTGTGCTTATAAACTGATAAACTGACTATACTGAAATACTGAAACAAGAATATTTATCCTCAGTAAGCTTTCTCAGTATACTGAGTTAACGTGTTTACTGATCAATCTCTTAAGTATTGTGGATTTCAGTAAAGCAGCGCAGCGACAATCAGATAGACCAGAAACCATACTGAACTATACATCTGATTACGACTCAGTATACTTTTCAATATATTACACTTATCATCATTTCCTTGCATTAAAAAGAATTTCAAAAAGAGTTTAAATTTCTTACAGTTCTATTCAACCCCCTTCTAGAACTGTGTGCCATACTAAACGGGACTCACAATTGGTATCAAAGCTTGTGCTCTTTTATTCTCGATCTAATCGATCTTGAGCCAAAGATCCATAAAGTATGGCAAGCAACTCTACTAGGCAGTTTCCAGGTAATGAGACCACCCAAATCCTTCCTGAAGGAATGTCTATTACTAGACCTCCTTTGTTTTTTGGCCAAAATTACACTTTCTGGAAAAACTGCATGCGTAATTTTATTCAAGCATCAAATATGAATGCATGGCTATCTATTATGGATGGACCTTACTCTCCTACTGTAGAAAGGAAAGGTGCCAGGATTCCAAAGCCAAGAAAGGACTGGAACGATGATGATCTCAAAAAGATGCAGCATGATGCTTCGGCGATAAACATGCTCCATTGCGCACTTGATGCATCTGAATACAACCGCATCTCTGAATGCGAATCAGCAAAGGAGATATGGGAAAAGCTTGAGACTACCTATGAAGGGACTGACAAAGTCAAAGATTCCAAGATCAACCAACAGCTGAGATACTATGAGCTGTTTGAGATGAATGAAGGAGAATCCATTGGTGAGATGAAAAGTAGATTCGTCAACATCATCACTGAACTGAAGCGCCTTGGTAAAAACTTTACTGAGGAAGAGCAAGTGAAGAAGATTCTGAGAAGTCTTCCTAGGAGTTGGGAAGCAAAGAAGACTGCCATAGAGGAAGCTCATAATCTGAAGACCTACAAATTTGATGAGCTGATAGGTTCCTTGCTGACTCACGAAATCTCAGTAAAGAATTTTGAAGAAAAAGAGAAGCAAGGCAGATCTGAGGATAAGAAGCAGAAGGTCGTACTACTGAAGGCTAATTCGTTTGACGATGAAGACTCAGACATAGACGAGATGGCTATGCTAGCCAGAAAGCTAAAGAAAATGTTCAAAAAGGATAGAAGATTCCACAAGAAGAAAATTCAAGACTTCAGCAAGAGGAAAGAACAGAAGAAGGATGCTGAGACATCCATTACCTGTTTCGAGTGTCACCAGCCAGGCCATATCAAAGCCAACTGTCCTAAGCTCAAAAAGGATAGAAAGTTTAAAAAGAAGGCCATGGTGGCAACATGGAGTGATTCAGAGGACTCCTCATCGTCTGAAGATGAAGAGTGTACTGAGACAGCTAACATATGCTTCATGGCTGTAGATGCTGAGACTGTTGAGGAAGCTAACTCAGGATCCTCAGATGAGTCTGAAGACGAGGCTGAGACCAGAGCCACTGAACCTCAGGTACAATCTATCTTCATGACTCCCTCTGAAATTCATACTGCACTTTTCGCTTTATATCAGTATGCGAAGTAGTCAGCAACAAATCTGAAGAGGATGCAGAGAAGAATTTTAGAACTCGAGGAAGATAGAAGCTTCCATGAGGACACAGTCAAGGATCTTCTGACTACAGTTCCTGGTCATGAGGACAAACTGAAGTCATAAGAAGATGAAATAAAGACAATCACTCAGGAATGTCTAAACCTGAGAGAATGGATTGAGAAATTCCAAAGATATCAATCTCAGAAGGAATCTGAGAGGCAACTTCAAAGGCAACTTCAAAGACAACATCAGTCTCAGCATGCCAGAAGGCCAGTACAAAGAAAGCCTCAAACACAGTTCAACCAGAGGCGAGCTCAAAAGCAACAGTATACT